GGGGGGGGGGGGGGGGGGGGGGGGGGGGGGGGGCACTACAGCATACGGAACTAAACCCTGGTACGGGTGAACGCTTAACCCTACCGAAAAGCTGTAGTGTCAATGAAAACCTGCTCGGAGTGAGGACTACGAGCGGCACAAAATAAACAGTAAAGATTGCTAAATATCCTCACAAATGATTGAAACATTTAAACGGTGCTGCTCACCATGGCACCGTTAAGGATGGCCCAGAAGACCGTCAAGACATCGCCGCCGGTCTTGCAGTGGCTCCCGGTGCAGCCGTCCCGCAAGTCGCGGGCTACTTCTGAGGCACCGTACCACATGCCGAGACCGTAGGAGCAGAAGATGATGAACATCATCACCGCCAGTGCTTTCGCGAATCTGACACACACAGCGGGAGAGGGAAAGGGAGGGGGTGGGGAAGAGACAGATGGAGGGCAACAGCAGAGGACATTTAAATAGCAGAAGAAGCAAAGCATGGCCCGTGAGTGTTGGTGAGGAAGAAGGAATCTTGAATGCGGCGCCTTCGCCTTGACTCGATAGTATACAACACAGACAAATATAGATGGTCTCTAGAGACTTCTCTCTTTCCACCCTATTCTCGTAAAGAGGAGAAACACTTCGAAAAAAATACAACACCCGTGCACCAGATCAGGGCAGTTCAAACGGCTTCCCGGCCACTCTGGTAGCATACTTTTGACACCGGAGAGGTGGCAGCCGTTGATCGGGTCAATTTGCACGAGGTGTTTGGAGCTGATAGACAGTAACCCTTTCGCACATTCAGTAGCTCTGGCCTCTCTCTTGTCCTACCCAAAGCGGAAATGTCAAAACCAAGTCCCTACTTTGTGAGACTGCTGCGGATTGGACAAGACAACAAACGAGGGGGGGGGGTGAGCTATGCCTTGCTGGTCTCCTCACCCAATGCCCGACTTGATGGAGGTCTCCATGGCCTCCTCCACCTTCTTCTCGTAGCGCTTGCTCTCCTTATCCTCGCCCGTGAACGCCACCACGGTCCGGATAGACGAGATCACCTCCTGCAGTGTGACATACATATGTTGACAGCAACGTCAACGGACACCCACGCCAGCGTTAAGCCAAAGCTCACAAAACACACACACGACTGACGTTTTTCATTAGTCAGCCGGTTGGCAAGGTCGATGATAAGTACAAAAACATCACGCACTGACATACTTAGTTCCCAGACCAGATCACCCGCCCATCGAACCCGCATCGAGTGAAGAGAGGTCCAACTATCCCCCCTCTCTCTCCCGCCTATATTTTGCCCAAGAAGTTTCCACGTATTGGCAGCGTCCGTTAGGATCAGGAATAGTCCGTGCCCCGTCTCGCATGACGGTCGGTCGTCAACTGCCCGCAAAACACGTGAGGGCACCAAACAGACTAGGGCGCCCCACCTCCCCCCCCGCCCCGCGCCTGCCAGCCCTCCCCTTCGGTTCCACGCCAAACACCAACCTCGGCCACTCCCCCGGCCGCGGCGTTACTCTTCTGGAACTGCGACGCCAGGCGCGCCAGGTCTCCGAAAAGGAACCCGCCGGCTATCGCCAACGGGGGGACGACGGACAGCATCACCTGCGAGGGAGGTGCAGGGGCCGGGGCGAAAGTCAAGGAGGGGAGGGGTCTCTACTTCAGACGAGGGGGGTGACGGCTTCGGTGCTACCTCATGGCGTCACATTTGCAGGGGAGGGCGTGCGCGTTGGGACAAACTAGAAGCCTGAATCGGATGACAGCTTGCAATGACTGTTTTCATGCTTGCCGACGAGGCTAGCACCTGCCGTCGCATATGTCCCGATCAAAGGCTGGAGGGGGGTACGAATCACCCGACCAACACAGCAACGTAACGTCACGTTACAAGCCGTCGTTTCGCTCTAGACAGCTATTTAGAGCAGGCTGGACGCGGCATCTACAAAACACACACACACACACACACACGCAAGCAACCAGCACGCATCCAACTTAACATCCACAAAGGACACGACACGACAAGAAGCAACTAGCATAGGCGGGTGCAGCACCCACCAGAGAGAGCTCCCACCCCTTCACGAAGCCTATGGTGAAGCCGGACACGAACATCGACATGAACTGGATGAGACGCGCCAGCTGTTTGCCCCGAAGGACGAGGGAGGGAGAGGGGGGAGGGCGGGAGATCTTGAAAACTTCAAAACGGTAGTGCACAAGACACAAGGAGTGACTCTCGAAGCATGCGACTGATCTCAACCACGTCTACGCGCAAACCTCGCGACAAGGGGGGGTAGCGATTCTGTGTGTGTGTGACGGTGCCCCCGTAACGCCACAAAAGCCGAACAATCGAACGAAATTAAAGTAAAGAAACGATACGTAAGGAACACCGTAACATCTTCTTGAAAATACGGCAAACGATTCCGACCTTGATTCCCATGCCCTGGCTGACGACCAGCGTGTCCCCCTTGATCCGTGTGGTTAGCTCCCCCGGCTTGGTTGTGTCGAACCTGCCATCACCAAACCAAGACACACGCATAGGCAGCAGTAGGTTAAGAGGGAGAGGGTGGCGAGAAGTAGCGCACTTTGAGAGAGACACGCACCGCCTATACAGCAGTAGAGTTGGAGAGGAGTGACCGACATAAAAAAAAAATGATCACATCGACACATGGGAGCAAAGCACAAAAGAGGCCAATGTTTTATCTCGTTTCATCGAGCAAAAATCGATCCACGATCAAGGCACGGTCGGGCCACCAGCATGGATTTCGACCACGATATGTACGACGACCACACGCGCACGTGGGTATCCAATGAAAGTACCGATACATTGCAGCGCGCTATGTCTAATATGTGGAAACGTATTTTCCTCTGGTCCAACTCACCATCCAATCTCCTGCCGCAGGGACGATAGAAGGTACTGCATCCGCATGCGCCGTACCTGCCAGACACGTTACCGAAAAAGAACGCAGCATATCGTAACAACGGGGCAATGGAGGGATGTGGAGGAGGGGGTATTGTACGGGCGGAAGTGTACCTGTGCAGGGTACGCGACACACTCGACATGCCGTGGATCCCTCCAAGACCCCAACGGACGCTGTCAAACCCCATGGCAATAATTACGTGTGGCAGACAAACGTCCCTCCTCCCAGACAAGTTGCCAAACTCGTGAATCGTCTCAAAGTAACCAACCGTTGGGCACAGACATCACTCAGAGGCTTTCCAGATAGAGAAGCTTGGGGGGGGGTGTACTCATAGTCGTGCATCCCGTAGTCGTTAGACCATTGACCTCGCATCCCTACAAAGCCGGGACGGACCACGCCGGGTTCTCACCGGACCAGGCTCTCACATCACCAAGCGCGAAGCGCCGTGAGGTATTGGGCGAGTCGCATGAAGGGTGCGGGCATCCTGCTAAGGGTGTTCGGCATCTTGTGCTGACTTCCTTGCATACGGATGACAGCTGCGTATGACTAATTTATTTTCTGGCACTTCACTTCCAGAGACAGTTGTAAGTACTGTGTAGCTGCCTCGAGGGTGCTTGACCATTTTAACACAACATGGTGCGATCATCCCCCTTGCGCGGAGTGAGGGTTCTCGACCCCGCACAATATGATCTACTCGACCACCATTATGGTTACCGCCAAAAAAAATAGAGGTAAAAAAAACACGGAAACCTGGTTGCCGAGTTCACGAANCGCCACGGAGAAAAACGTGTTGAGGCCGGTGTTGAGCACAAAGGCAACAACGGCTAGGGCGAAAAAGTTCAGCGCGTTCCGGTTGACCTGTGATCAAGGTAAAGGGTGAAAAGAGGAGGACGAGGAGGAGGAGGAAGAGGTGGTGGGCGCAAAACACCAGAAAGGGAACGGCCATCCGACCAGGGCACAAATCCATTTCGAGCGACAGCGAGCGAGAAAACACACTCGAGCGTAAGTATGTACCACGCAAAATGCACACATAGCCAGGCACCAATACAGCAGTACAAAGCTACCATGCATCATGAGGTACCACCAATGCTAGCGAAGACCATATGTACCTCAGCGGTGGGGTTGGGGCTGTGGAAAGCGTCCAGGATGTCTCCAAAAATGATGGAGAAGATCGGCATCACCACTCCCGCGCCGGCTGCGCACAACGTCCCCACGAACATCAGCAGGTAGTCCAACTGCAGCAGGCGAGGCGGTAACGATGTTGGTCCCAGTTTCACGGCAGCAGCAGATCCAATCCAACATCTCTGTATACATACTCAGATTCAGAGAAATCGGTACAAAAAATGCTGCACAACCAGCACACGGCTGACGAGATGGTCTGGTGTTTCGATGAGTGACGGCGTTTCGCGGTCCTGCATGCTGTACGCAGACAACCTCGGCCCAAAACCAAAAATTAAATTACCGAAGACGAGGTTCGTAGAAGACAAGACCCAAACTGCTGTACCTTCACGTGTCACCCCTTGAGGGAGGAATCGGTTGCGCACACGGTATGCGTGCAACACATTCCTGTAATCCGAAACTTGAAAAACTGGCGCAGACGTTGCCCATGCACGTACATCCGCAAGGTCGTTTTTGAGATATAGGAGCACTTTCGAAAAAACAACACAAGAAACCTCGTTTGTGTCGATCGAGTTTATTGCTGTGTGGGTCAACCATATTTAAGAAACGATGTCACCAAGGAAGACGTCTGCGTCAAATGGACCAGTCTGGACGTCAGAGGATAGACCGTGAGCAGAGATCGGCCGGTTTTAGACAACCGTAGTGGCAACAAGCGCTCTGCACTGCTGTGGACTTGTTATGATGGAAGCAGTACATGCATTCCACCCCCACGGTGGATCGAGCTTCCAGGACGCGGGGTGGACATGGGGACAAGGTTAAGAGACCTAGATCGGAAAAGATCACCCCGAACTGCTCTTTGCGTGTGTGTCGCCAGGGCAGGAATCCTTTCCCACACGGCTGCTGCTGCTGCTGCTGCTGCTGCAAGGCTCTGCTGGCTGCAAGAGGCTGCTGCGGTCGTGCGGGATTCGTGTTGGGGACTGCATGTTTAGGTACATCTATGTATACCGCACTTTCAAAATATGTGTTGATCTTATGGCCAAAAGCAGAGGAAGCCCGCAGGCGAAGAATAGGCACGTGCTCGGCCAGTGGCCGCTGGCGTGGGGCGATACCAGAGAGACACCAGTCCGTCACCAGAGCGAGAGAGAGACGTCATGGAGTGGATGACTCCTACTCTCAAGTTCTGTCTCTTGTGAAAGTGTTGCTGGTGCTGATGTGTACAAGTACAACAATACTGCTGTGGATCACCGAAGGTCCGAGCGCCGAGAGTTGGTGGGCGAGGATAGTGAAGTATCGCGCGTCTACGGGGGTAGACCTAGTTGGGGGATACCAGAATGCAGAGATCACATGATAATATCGGCAGGGAGTGCTGGCAGGCTGGATTGGACACGTGCTTCGTCCTCCCACCATTCCCACCATTTTTGGGGGTGGGGTTGAAAGGAAACAGCCGTTGCCGCATCATCATTTTTTGCCACTTGCACACGTGGCCGGGGACAAAGCAGCAGTGCTCCATCACCGGCATAAGGACAAAAAGTTTCGAGCGCGTTGCGTCCTTGGACTGCGGTGCTTCCCAGCCTCTCACACGAAGCGGGCAACAACGCCATATGCAGTGTAACATCGTCACTCGCCGTCCGATTTCGTGGCTTCAACAGACGATTCGAATACCCAATTCATGATCTCATGCATACCACGCACGGGGCCCACGCCTATTTGTCTTAGCGTGAAACGACGACCTCGCGCCACGAACCTTGTCAGCAAAGAAGAAGAGATCGAGGAACGGCGATGGCGCCTCGGGCTTCGTGAACGTTGGTCCGTCCTCGCTGTCGCCATCTCTGTCGCCTTCGTTGTCTTTCTGAACCCCGGCCAGAAGGGGGACCGTGAGCAGACCCTCCTCCACATCGCCGACCTTGCGCTCCTCGTTTCCGTTTAAGCTGGAGCTCTTGTAGCTCGCGCTGCTTCCTCTCTGAGCCCGTGAGCCAGGCATGTCCCCTTCGTTTCGCTTCCCCCCGTCCCCTCTCTCTCTCGGGGTCCTTTATGAACAGAGGGCGGTGCGCTTTCCCATGTTCCCTTGTCTGTCGCGGGGGAGCCGTGGATTTGGGTTTTGAAAACGAAAGGTACCCGCACCCCCACAAAACCCACCTGCGGGTACATGTTCCCCATCCCCATGCCCCCATCGACCACCGCCGGCACAACGAGATGCGCGGGGTGCCCCTCCCCCAGCAGTGGCCTCATGGCCCTTCGAATCCTTTGCAAGCGGCTGCCGATTGTGGTTCTTTCAAGACTGCAGCTAACCTTCTTGCGAGCGGTGCTTTCGACATTGATCAGGGCAATGAGGTCGGCTGGACCCCACTCATGATGGCTTCCCGGGGAGGTTACCCCCGGATTGTCAGGATGCTTCTGAACAAGGGAGCACAGGTCTGGGTAACGGATGATCTTGGCTATACCGCTTTGCACTGGTCCGCGATGGCAGGACGCCCGGCCGTCACCAAGATGCTGGTGGATGCCGGTGCACTCCTCGACGCAGCAACCAAACAAAACCATTGCACGCCGCTCGACTGTGCTGCTGAAACCGGGTGCGCCGCGTCGGTAACAGCATTGCTCAAGGCCGGCAGTAACATCAACACCCGTCGGTCGGATGGAGCAACACCGCTGTATACTGCGGCGTGGAATGGGAACGTAGTTGCGGTTTGGTTGCTACTTCTTGCGAAGGCAGACCCGCTCCTGACATGCGCCTCTGACTCGGGTAAAGAGAGATTCCTGCCGTTAGACGTGGCGGCGCAGAACGGGCACCGGGAAGTGGTAAACGAGCTGATCCGGCAGGTGGGCATCGATGGATGTGGTGGCTCAAGCGGCGGTGAAAATGCTCTCCGACAGGCCGCGCTTTTCAGCCGTTTGGATATCATGGCCATTCTAACGGATGCCGGAGTGGTAGACACGGGGTTAGCTCTGGTCGTGGCCGCCGGATATGGGGGCGAGGCCCCCTTGAAGTTCCTGTTGGAACAGGCAAGGGGGAGGAAATCGACGGATAGGGCGGCGTATATGAACACCCTCAACGGTGTCGGTTTGACGTCATTGCTTGATGGCATTCAGCGTTGCCGCCCCAGAGTTGTGCAGTTGCTTGTTGAAGCCGGAGCGGACACGACATCACCTGTTCTAATCTGCAACCAGCCTGGGGAAGACGATTTCCACATCACACCCCTGGGTCTCACGATGTGTCTCCTCGGTGGTAGGTCAGCTAAACCCTTGACAATGGAGGAGCAAAATAAGCTAGAGGTTATACGCCGCTTGCTGCTGCGAGAGGAGGCAGTGCACGCGGTCTCTTGGCTGTGGCCTAGCGATACCCCCACCATTACCCATGCGACCGCAAAGGGCACCGGTAGGACAACGGCAACATCGACAGCCGCAACACCGTTCATCATGTTAATGATAGGGCGAAGGACGAGAGGGCGCAAGGGTCTTTTGGCAGCCCTGTTGAGGTGGGTAGTTGTTGTGACGTGAAGATGGAGCTGTTTGACCTCTATCATACCCTCCAGCAGTAGCTCACGTTGCGATTGGAACAAAACATATGACGAAATCAGAGAGTCCCACAGCATCCAGGAAGAATGTTTTCTCCTAGAACAAGTCCAGACAGACAAGTTCGGACGGGCAGGAATGGAATATATCCAGAAAGGAAGTGTGCGGTGCCCGCCCGGTGATAGAACGCATTCTTTCAAGAAATCGATGCTCGAAGGGTTGATACTACACGAAAACTCGCTCGAGAGCTTGACTCAAACGACGCCACCCCGATATATCGTGGCACTGGTATTTGGCAACTTAGTAATAGCCTGCTCAACCAGCAGACATCATTACGGTAGGCTATCAGCCTTGGTCACAGTAGGCATTTCCTATGACCGAGCCGGCACTGCTGTAGACGTCATGGCTCGAACTCGGGAACTGGCTCACAAGACATTCTGAGGAGTATCCCATGCAACGCAAAATCGAATTCGAGGGCTGTGCCTTTGCACCCAAATCGCGGCGTGGTGTTGACCGTCGGATTCGGTGGTACCTGCGGTATAAGGCATGTTGCATCATCTATGTAGACCTCTCGTCCGACTTCGGGCTGTGCTCCAGTCATCACAATCGCCGTAATTGATTTTGTGCCGCGCTGGTTTCTATCGCTATCCTGATCTATCTGTAGCCGGCCGTCTCAGCTAGGCTTGCGATGGCGCAAGTCTGCGTAAAGGTTTATCCCATGGTGAGATTGACCGGTCTCCTCCTATGAATGACGGGGTAGACGAAACGGTGGCGATTTCTGTTGCTAGGGCGCGTGCTCCTTGCATAGGTTTCTCAGAGAACGGCACATGTCTATGCTCAAGCCCGCTTGGCCACTCGTCATCCTTGGCACCCGTGTTCTAGCGCAGGTATTCGTCGAAGCTCGAAGCCTTGACCGGGATGGAAAATGAAAAGGATTGGAGGAAGAGGCTCCAGGGAACCGGTTAATTTCTACTTAGTTTATCGTGTTCATGTTCGAAGGTGTTGAGAGCTTCCGGCTGCGTTTTATCAGTATCGGTAACCTGAAAGAAAGCGGAAATGGCTCAAGCACTCACGGTCTCCCCTAACAGCTACTGAGCTCGTGTTGTAGGGACAGCGTTGTTGGTTGTTGGTGGGTGTGGATTGCAAAAGTGAAGCGGTAGCAGGGTACTTTCTGATGGAGTTGTGGCTTGTATTGAACATCGTTGTTGTCGAGTAGTCGCCTGAAGGCGGGAGATTCATGTGGACCTCTCTCTGTGCACACCGTGATTGGATGAAGAGCAGTAGACCAGTGACATGAACTAGACCCGCCGACTGTATCGTGGTTTTCCTTCCCTGTTCTTGAAAGACTGTTATTACAGGTGCTTTTGACAGTGTGCCGTATTCGAGCGATTGTTCATGGGGGGCGCCCTCTCTCATACAGGTCGGCGAAGGTTTGTCACGTTTTAGACGAATAGTGCTATAGTATTGTCCACCCCGCTGTTCCTCTCTCTCGCTCTGAAGGTGGCACAATTGTGAGGTAGCATGTGCTCGACGGCGATAGATGTGCGTAGCACATCCCAAGCTGATTTACAGTTTGTGACAGAGAAGGCGAACTTGAACGCGCATCAACGCTTGCTATGGAAACGGTCTCGTTGTCAAGCTTCATTTCGAACGTTCATGCCTGGCGGATTACGTGGGAAGTAAGAAAAACTGAATAAGCCCAGACGGGCATCTTGTATGGCTGAGCCTATTCGCCGGACTGCTCGCTACGTGATTGTCTGCGGCTCCGTTGCATGAAGTGGCTGACATCGTTGCTGTCACCGATGATTGGTTTGTTGGTGTTGTTGCTCATTTTCTGTGTTCTTGAGTTGATTCCCCCCCCCCCCCTTCTGGGTTCTCGCACGTCCTTCGTGCAAGCGTTAGGTCTGCGTTGATATGGTGTGTGCATGTGTGTGTTTTTGTCGCTTTGATATGTTGGGCGTGTTACTGAGACCTCAGCACTTTGCGTGTAGATTTTTTATGAGTTCTTTTTGTTCTTAGAGATTCGTCGGACCGTTCGAGTCGAAACGCGTCAACTGCTGCGTGAGCCCACTCCGGAGGCTTAAGTAAAAATAGATGATGAGCTGGTGTTTCTTGTCAGGGAGGGCATGCCAGATACCAAACGCAGAGAGCGGGTATCATCACAGCAGGAGTATAGTTCGTGAATTCATCATAAAGATATGTGTTTCATGTAGTCTAGACAAGATGTCTACCAGCAACAACAGCAATAGAGAGAGTTCGTTCAGAGAGCCGGCCAGAGAGGGCTTTTTTACTGCTGTAGTGCGGTGTGCGTAGTTTTGATCCCGGCGCAGCCGATCGATGTGCGAAGTCTCCTCCTGTGCTAAGTTGGTACGGGCTGCGGCGGGCAAAAGTAAAACCTCCTCTCACTCTCAGGTTTGTCGCCATGAACAGCTTTGCTATTTGGAGTGTTGAGAATATATTTACACGCTTGACTTCACGGTCGAGGGAAGGCTGCAGCATGCGGCCGAATGAACCCCGTTCGCTTTGAAAAGGTATTAGGCTAAGCACCGCAGGAGGGTGAGGCGAGAGGCGTGAAGAACACAAGGAACAAAGTGAATGAACCTCCCGCGACCTTCCTCCTGTGGTACCCCGGCTGATTCGTGAAACACATACACCGAGAGGGGCGTAGAATGACGCCAGAATTGATGGGACAAACACACCACATACCACACGACTTACGCTATCGAAGTACTGCACATGAAGGGTTGACACTGCTGTCGAGCAACGCCTGTCGGTACGACGCTAAATTTGAATTTTGAAAAAAACCCGTGAAGTACAACGGTGTGGGACGCCCCCAGCCTTTGCCACCGGGAGACTGGTAGATAATTTCTCGATCTAGCGTGCTGTGCCCCCAGACACTCACCTCTCACCTCAAGCCCCTTGGCACGACTTGCCTGTGTTTACTCGTGGACCACTTCGTTTCTTCTCCTCTTCCATCCTACGGCGTTGATCCTCTAGCGGATCGTCCTTGCCGCAACACCAACGTGAGAGCTAACAATAATAGGAGCTTGCACTTCCGAAGAGAGTGTCCCACAAAAACGCGGCGGAACTGGAACCTCACAATCCACCCACCGTGCTGCTGTGCTCGGGGCTGCCGCCGGCCGACGAGATGCCCCGGGTGCCTCGCCCCCAGCAGCGGCCTCGTGGCCCTTCGAATCGTTTGCATGCAGCTGCCGAGTGTGGTTCTTTCGAGGCTACAGCTACCGTCCTTGCGAGCGGTGCTTTCGACATTGATCAGGGCAATGAGTACGGCTGGACCGCTCTCATGCTGGCGTCCCGCGGAGGTTACGCCCGCATTGTTGGGATGATTTTGAACAAGGGCGCACAGGTCTCGATAACGAATGATCATGGCGCCACTGCTTTGCACTGGTCTGCTATGGCAGGACACCTGGCGGTGACCAAGATGCTGGTGGAGGCGGGTGCACCCGTCGAAGCAACAACCACACAACACCTTTGCACGCCGCTTCACTATGCTGCTGACAACGGGTGCGCCGCGTCGGTAACAACATTGCTCGAGGCCGGTGCGAATTTGAACAGCCGTCGGTCGGATGGGGCAACACCGCTGTACACTGCAGCGTGGAAAGGAAACGTGGATGCGGCAAGATTGCTGCTTCTTGCGAAGGCAGACCCTCTCCTGACTACCGTACCTGATCCGTCGGGGAGGACCTTCCTCCCGTTGGATGCGGCAGCGGAAAACGGACACCCTGAAGTGGTAAACGAGCTGATTCGGCAGGTGGGCATCGATGGCTGCGGTGGCTCAAGCGGCGGCGTGCGTGCTCTCCAGCAGGCCGCGCAATTCAAGAATTTGAACATCATGGTCATTCTAACGAACGCCGGAGTAGTCGACACGGGGTTAGCTCTGGTCGTGGCCGCCGGATATGGGGGCGAGACCCCCTTGAAGTTCCTGTTGGAGCAGGCAAGGGCGAGGAAAACTATGGATGAGGCGGCGTATGTGAATACCCGCGACCGTGGCGGTGTGACGCCATTGCTCTGGGGCATTCAACATTACCGCCCCAGAGTTGTGCGGTTGCTTGTCGAAGCCGGAGCGGACACAACATCACCTGTTGCCGTCCGCAACCAACTTGGGGGGGACGATGTCAGCATCACACCCCTGGGCCTCACGATGAATCCCGTCCGTGACAAAGTTAAAGTTGTCGGGCGTGGACCCGCATCACCGGAACAGCTGCATAAGCTAGAGGCCATACGCCGCTTGCTGCTGCGAGTGGAGGCAGTCCACGCGGTCTCTTGGCTGTGGCCTAGCGATATCTCCACCATTACCCGTGCTGCCGCAAGGGGCACCGATAGGACAACGGCGATATCGACAGCGGTAACACTGCCCATGTTGGTGACGAGGCGAAGGGCTAGAGGGCGCAAGGTTCCTTTGGCAGCCCTGTTGAGGTGAGAAGTCGTTGAGACGTGAAGATAGAACCGTTTGACCTCAATCACAACCTCCAGCAGTAACTCACGTTGCTTCTACAGAGAGTCCCACAGCATCCAGAAAGAATGTTTTCTCCTAGAACACGTTCAGACAGACAAGTTCGGACAGGCACGAAAGTCTCCAGAAAGGAGTGTGCGATGCCGGCCCGGTGATAACAAGCATCATTTCAAGAAATCGATGCTCGAAGGTTTGATAATTCACGAAAACCGGCGCAGTTAGGTTCAGACGGCGGCAGGCACCCGACTGATTTTGGCACTGGTATTTGGCAACTCAGCAATGGCCTGTGCTCAACCAGCAGACATCGTTAGGGCTATGGGCCTTTCTCACAGTAGGTGTTTATTTTGGTGCTTTTGACCTCATCGCTCCCATTCGGAAACTGTCGCGCTTGTTTCTCGAAAATTACCGTACCAAAATAAGCAGAAGCAGAAAAGGTCCGGTCTAGAAAACACAGCTTGTTTCTGGCTTGTGGTTGTCATCGTTTAAAACCGTTTCCATTCCATGAACACACGGTTTGCTCGACACACAACAGATCGACTTGGCTTTGCTCACCATAGAGCAGCGGAATACAGGCACCAAAAGCAGCACCCGATACAGAGAACAGCACACTACTGAAGACCTTTTGTTTTCAACACCGGCAGCAGGGCGCAGTGTTTCAACCTGGGTGTTGCCTGCGATTTCGCCCGGTGTTCCCGCTCATTTTTCCCGCTGCGACCCCGTTCTTTGACCACCCCTGTCGAAAGGTAGCCAAACTCATCAATCATCGAGCGGCATGGGCGCTGAGCGCCAGCATTTTACACATGACCAATCCGAAAGTAATAGCGTGTCGGAGGCCCTATTGTTCATGTGCGTGGTCCCATGGATTTGTGTTGCCACTGTAGGTCCGACCAACAACAGACAATTTTTTTAAACAACAGTTTATGGGGAGGTGGAACACGTCTCTCACACACCTTCTTTAGCAGCATCCGAGCCCCCAATACCCACACAGCAGCACAGCGCCTGGAGGGAATGTATCACATAGAGAGCCGAATCGAAAAAGCAACATGTTGGAGGCCTTGACGCTGCTTCTTTACTCGTTCTGATGTTTCCGTGTTTGTCGCGTGTAATGAGAAAAGATCACGCGCATCATGGGGAGCAGTTGAAGCCGAGGGCACCATGCAATGTCGCAGTTCGGACAAACAACGGACTGAGCGCGACTTCTACCACTGGTCTATCTTCGCGAAATAGACCTGGACATGAGTCTGCAGGTCTTGCGAGAATACAGTTCTCTTGGTGTTACAGCTCCCGCGGTGCGCCTGCCCAAACTTTCAAGAAAATATACATAACAACACAGAAAGAACTACCCGTTCGAGATATGACCACAGTTGGAAGGGATGTGCTGAAGTCTTTTCAGTGAGTGGAGGGAAACGGGCTGGAAACTGGGCCAAAGCCTACATTGAATGACACCAGTGATACCAGCTGGTGCTAAGTACTTAGGCATCTGCGTACGTAGATGCGTTTTACATCCCCTGTAGTTCTCCACTGGCTCAACCACGAATATATCGGGGGAAAGCCCTCCATTGTGTCGTGTGTTATTAAATGTGACGATCACAGGGAACGCGGCGCAGTGCTGTTTGACAGCTTTTTGGTTTATGTACTACTGTTCTTGCAATCTAATTGAATCTTCGTATTTGAATATCAAAACAGGTGCTGCAGTGTGGAGCAGCTAGTTCCCTCTCCTTTTCAATCTCCAAATGCAACATTTGATGATTTCGCGTGATGAGTTAGGTGGTACGCATCACAGAACTGGTATACATGTATCGCATGGTAAGAAGGTCATTTTGTGTGTATTAGAATTCAGTTCAATCCTTGTTTTGTCGGGGGAGCAGACGCAAGAGTCGGTCAACGTGAAAGGCAAAAGAACTTCCCTTTTTCTCAGATGTGTGTAGAGGTACGTTGTTGAGACCATTTGTACCGTGTCGTAGCCATGTTGTAGAGCATCCGTCGTGAAGGGCAGCAGCAGCAGTAGGTACCGTAAAATATTCGGAGGGATGGCACCGGGTGCGATCGTTTTTTAATATGTGTTTTCCTCGGTTTTTTATGGCACCCCGGTACCATCTGTCCGATCCCGGTGTAAAAATGCAATTAGATCACTTCGTTTGGTATTAAGGCACCCCGGTGCGATCTTCCGACTGGTGCGATCCCCATGAAATACACACAGGTGTTGTACGCACCCACCCCTGTGCCATCTGTCTGTACTACAGCAGTATTGATATCAGCATAGAACCACGTGCAGGCACCGTTGCTGGTTGAAGCACACCGGTAACGACAACGTAGGCTGGTACTCAACCGCTTTCCATGCAGCGAGTGGTCTTGTGTTTGATGTGAGTTCGGCTCTGGCTTGACGACAACAAACAATGTCGTTTACATCTGAGGCACCGGTACATACGGTTTCAGTTATCTCCCGCTTTCGTGTCGGGCTTCCTCTACGGATACGTACGCAGCAGTACATACTGATAGTTTTTTCGTGTTGTGCAAGGTGGGGTAGAGTGCGGCTTGTGCGTTGTGTGTTCCGTTGAATGTACAGTGGGCACCTCTCCATACCAAATAAAAAATAAAAACAACTGGCATTTCGCGTGAAAAGGCGACCATGCATACGTACATACAGGAGTGGCGCTCCGCTGACACCGTCCCCACATGTAAGAGGTACGCACATGTACCTCATTCCGGCAGCTGAACAGGAGCTCAATCTTGGATTTGGGAGTCGGAGAGATCGCATCCCCCGATGCGTAAATCGAATCAAATCAAGCCGTTCTTCTGGTCTTCTTCTGCGCACCCTGGTGCCATATCCCCGACCGGTGTCATGTCTCCGACAGGTGCCATCTCTCCGACTATTACGGCAGTCGTCATCTTTGTGTTATGCAGCGTTGTGGATCTTAACTGGTACACGAAAGACACACACGCGTATCCAAGTACACACCTGGAGTACCGCAATAGTCGGAGAGAAAGGTCGGGGAGATGACACCGGGGTGCACAAAATGTACAAGAACGGCATGATTTAATTCGATTTTCGCACCAGGGTCGGTGAGGTCGCACCCGGTGTGATCTCTCCAACCCCTAATCCAAGATTGAGCTCCTTGTCAGCTGCCGGAATCAGGTGCACACATGTGGAACATTTTACATGTGAGGACGGTGTCATCGGAGCGCCACTCCCGTATGTACGTACGCACGGTCGCGGTTCACGCGGGATGCCAGTTGATATCGCTTTTGTTTTTGGTAGAAGCTGCCAACCGTACACTCAAATCAACCAAGCGCACAAACGTACAAGCCGCACCCTACCCCACCTTACACTAAAGCGAAACTACCATACTGCTGTGTACGTACTGGTATCCGTAGAGAAGGCCGAAACGAAAGCGAGAGACAACTGATACCGTATGTACCCGCACTTTAGATGGAAATGACATCGATTGTTTGTCGTCACGCCATAGCCAAACTCGCATCAAGCACAAGACCACTCGCTGCATGGATAGCTGTTACGTACCAGCCTACGTTACCATTACCAGTGTGCTTCCTACCTGCAACAACGGTACCTCCACGTGTGGTTCTACTGATCAATAACATTGTCAACTAGCGATGTGTCATAACTCCGTCTGCCTACACTGGTATCGATGCTATGGTACCGGTCGGGTAGATGGCACCGGGCTGCGTGCATACAACACCTATGTGTATTCATCGGGGATCGCACCGGTCGGAGAGATCGCACCGGGGATGCCTTGAAAAAGCTATAACGAAATGATTCAATTGCATTTCCGCACCGAGGTCGGAGAGATGTTACCGGTCGGAGAGATCGTACGGGGTGCGATAAAAGCCGCGAGGAATATCTAAAAGAACGATCGCACCCGGTGCTATCTCTCCGACTAGTATGGTAAGTGATCGGTAGCAGAAGAAGTTTGTGTCAGCCACAAGGTCAAATTGGAATAGCATCTTTGCACGAAACTCGATACAGCCTTCCCGTCTTGTCTCAAGTCTTATCGGAGCTATATATGTGGGTCCATGGTAGTTATGTGAATGCCGGCTGCTCCGAATACAACGGGAGGCTTGCTGTTGGGTTGAGATTGAGATTGTGCAAAGGTGGCTCCTTCCTGACCTGCAGCTGTTGTAGATTTGGAGACGAGCGATGTGTTGTATTTACACATCGTCATGTGACGTCGTATTTGATCTGAGACTAGATTAATAACAGCAAACCACATATTTGCTAGGGACACGTGGCACTGCGTTCCTCCCTCTTAATTGATATGTAGGCAACGTGTTGCCCTTGTAGTCATTTATCCACCAATCTTTTGTAGGCTGAGTCAAAAAGTTTTGATATTTTCAGGTTTTATTTTCATCTATATCTACCAATATTCAATATTCATGTATCTATGCCACAGTCACATTCCTTCTCAAGAACATTCCAATAATACCATTGAGCTCCATTCATCTATCCCCATGTCTATTTGTTGATTCAAATCAATCCTCCAATTCTACTTGATACCACAGTGGCTACCTGTGTTGATACCAACATCGTTGATATTCTGTACTTGCTTCGACGGAATTCGTCCTATCATTTTGCTCCTAAATCTTCTCGTTTCCTTACAGCTAAACTCATATATCAATCCCATGACGAACACAGAATCTCTTGTTCAGCGTAAAACCAATAGACTACTGTATCCTAACGTCTGTAAGAAATTATTATTTTGCAGCTTACAATGTATAGTGTACATAAATGGGCGTTTTCCTGAAGAACACTTGACTTGTGTAACTTAGTGCTTAAGAATTACTCATTGAAGTAATGCACGAATAGGCATCTACCTCAAAATATTCATTGCGGGTACAGTGAACGGCAAGTATACGGCATAATTCGAATGATAACCTTGTTTGGTCTCAAATGTAGGGAAACCCACGATACGACTTCAGAGAGCCCATGGTACACCGTTTATCATACATATGCGCCTGAGCACCTGTCATGCCTTCGATTATTTCGATATCTGACAAGTGCGCACTGTATCCTTGTTGTTCTTGGGTCAGCTCAATACTGTTACACCGCTTGTTACGGCAGCGCAATGCTGCAAAAAAGGGCTGCATTTCTGCAACTTTTCTTGCAGCTTGCTGATGTAAGCTCAATGTCGGAGCTAAAAGTTGCACGAAGAGTTCTCCAACTATTTTTCTGGAGCGAAAAGCTGCAATCTGGCCGAAAAGTGTTGACTCGAGAAAAGCTGCACGGCGGAAACCAGACTATACCGGTTCACGTCAAGCTGCTGCCCCTACCGCACACGTAGACCCACTCCAGCATCGATTGTGCGAAAGCTGTGATCACTGATATCTCGACGAATACCTGAGTTGCTGATGAATGGTATCTGGAAAGAGGTGATGCCATGGGCTGTTGGGCAATGCCAAGGTTTGGGACCGTGAGGTCCCGAATGCGCCGGGAAAAAAAGTTTGTGCTGTACACAACCGTCAACGGCAGCGAGCGGTTAGTTCAAGCTCGATGTTTTTGACCGCCACGGGTTTGGTTATCCACCGATAACGTTCCGAAGGAGGAAGCAACAGCAACAGCAAGGTCGCTCCGTGGGATGTAGCTCTCTGCTCCATCTTTCAAGCCCAAGGTTTGGTGCCGTGGGGTATCGTGCGCATCGGGAAAGAGTTTTCATCGACCCTGAAGTACCCACGTCAGAGAGCGGTTGGTTCAAGTTCACAGGGATTGTGTGCGCATCGTTTGGCTTTCCAGCGATAACTTTTCGAAGGAGAAGGGAACAGCAACAGCAGTGCAACCCCGAGGGAGTTAGCTCTACCCAGCATCTTTCTGGTACCAGTTAGATGCCTTGGCGTATCGTGAGTGAGGAGAAAAAAAGCTGCAACTACACTCTCCCGCACGCTTTGACCGGTTCTTTCGCGGTGCAATATTAAAGGCGCGTGCCTTCCTCCGTTGCTCAAAAATGCATATATCACGCCTCCGCATTCCGCCAGTCCCGTGCACAATACTTTCTTCGTTCCATAAAGAGCGTGCATCAAAAGTTCCATTAACGAAGTTTGGAAGAAAAGCTGCAGGAAAAGTTTGCAGCTTTCCTTGCAACATTGGGGAGCCATGAAAAGCGGTCTTGGAATGAGATTTCCATCTACATCACAAGTCAATCTGTCATACATCCCTCCTATTTATCGTTTCACCCATGCCCACGCCATCTAGATCGTACGGAGTATCACCGCTATGTATGATATCCCCCAAGTGTTGAAACGTTCGCTTGCGAGGCCGAAGAGACACTTATGGTAGCATCATTGTGTTTTTGCCCTTCCGCCGTATTGTTCAGTGAACACTCGAGGATACATAGGAACACGGCAACTCTGTGACAATCTCTTGATATACCGGTTTTCGTGTATGTAAGCAAATGTGTAGCAAAACGAGGTGCAGGTGAGGATCCCATCAATATACCACAAGATTGGCGATACAGTTGAGGTCCAAACTGAACATACCAAACTGAACATATCCTTCATCAATATAAACTCAACCCACGTAAAAAGATGACCTTCGGTTTGTTTTATGTCCTACTGATGATCTGCGCGCGGAACCCGGAACGTGTTTTTCTCTGTGTTTTTGTTCCGACAGGCATGACCCTTGACTCCCAAGATTTTGGATAGCACCGCTTTTTGTGGGAGCGTGAAGTTGCGAGAAAGTTATAATTTGCAAACTTTTCTTGCGGCGTTTCTCTCATGTATGCTTCTTTTGGGAGCAAACTGTTGCGCCAAAAATTTGGAAACTTTTGAGTTTGGAACAAGAATCGTGCGATATGTAGCAAAAGTTTTTCAGATTGTTCTCGCGACAATAGTGCGAAGAAAGTTCCGCGGCGAGACTTCCGCCCATCCACGTCAAGTACCTGCCCCTTCCGCACACGTAGACCCTCTCCCGCCACAAATACGCACACGATCGAAGCCATAGATGAACGGCCAAGTCAGAATACTTCAAAGACGATCTGGAATTGCTTGCCAATGCCGCAGATGTGTAGAATACATATTTGTAGAGTCTGCGTCAACATTTTGTGTTGGATGTGAGCGTGATTGAGGTCTTGCTGGCTTCGGTTGGAAGGCACAACGCCAGGTTTTGTGCCGCCAACTCGTTTTCCAAGCTTTTGTTGCACGCTCTGGCCGGTTGCGCGGTGTGATATGAGGGCTGTATCTGCTTCTCGTCGTTGCTCAATAAACAAAAATGGATCACGGCTCAGTTTTCCACCAGTCCCGTGAAGTAAACTTCCTTGGCCCCTGGTGGGCGTGCGATAAAAGTGTTTTGACAAAGTCCTAGACTACACCAGAAGTTACCCAAAACTTTTCTCGCAAAGTTACGCTCCCATATGCATCAAAAGCGGTGTAGGGCGTGTTCAATGCAAGGAAAAATCAAAACTGACGAAGATATCCTAGCAACCAATTCACCGCGTGTTTATCCTCGGGGATCGGTGGTTTCTGTGGGTATGGCATGTGTCATTTTCTATCTATAGCTCTCGTTCGATGTTTACCTATGCTGCAGTCGTCACGATTAACGTGGAAGTTCGTGCCACACTAATTTTTATCTGTGCCCTAATCTGTATTTGGCCATGTTCGCTTGGCTTGCGATGCCGAAAGTCTACGAATTGTTTCGTCCGGTACTATGTTGAGGTTGAAAGGTCTTCTCCTTACGATCGCGGGGTAGACGAAACCTCGCGTTACGTGTTGCAGGGCCACGTGCTCCTTGCATAGGACACTTTGACAACGGCAAGCGCACATGTACGCTCAAGACCGCTGCGACCAATTTACGGACTACGTCTTTTGCTTTTTGTCACCCGTCGTCTTTCGGACCCGTGCGCGTCTGCAGGTATTCGTCAAAGCCATGATGGACAAGGATCCTTGCTCGCCTTCAGCTTTGTCGTCGGACAGAGTGGTGTAGCGGGTACTCAAGCAGCCGTGCCCAGGCGTGGATTAAAATGTTTTCGGTACTTGTAACATTAAGAAACCGGTTTGACTAGGACGGCTCAAGCGCTTTAGGTCTCCCCTGAAGGGAGATGGTGACCTCAATGTGTCCGTGGGCATGCAATAATAGGATGGTGAAGCACTGTCGGCGAAATTTCTGGTGGAGTTGTTGTGGCTTCTGCTAGTGAAGATCGTTGTTGTTTAGATTAATGTTGACTTAAGGCGGGAGATTTACTACAGAGCACGGTGATCATCATACACAAGAGCCGCCGACTGCTTTGCCTACGTTTCGTCTGGTCCTAGTCCTGGGTGCTCGCTGTTGGGTGTTTTGACGTTTTGACACGATGTATCTGGTTCGAGGCGCTCCTGCGGCGGGGAGGGCGCCCTCCTTGGTCGACGAAGGTTATTGACGTTGTTGTTTAGTACAATGTAGATCCTTCCCACGTTCTTTTCTCTCGCTCTTGATCCTTGAGTTCAAGTTTCGAGGGTGCTGTATGTAGCAGTAGTTGATTGTGATGATATGGGAAGCAAAACTCCATCGGATTGACATGCAGTGACAGAGGAGGTAGACTTGAACGCGCATCCTGCTCGACGGTGATGATGTGCGCACCAAAACCCCATAGGATTGACAGTGACGAGAGAAGGTGGACTTGAACCATCTCGTCGCCAAGCTTCATTTCGGGCGTTTCTGTATAGATGGCTGAGCCTGTGGAAGTTTAGTGTGAGCCCAGGCATCTTGTATGCCCGGGCCTATTCGCAGAATGCCTCGCTACATGTACTTTGCTCGTCCTGGTATGATGTTGTTGTTGTAACGGTGACACGTACGTTTGTTTGTGAGTTTGTGCTGATTCGTATCTAGACTATGCGGATAGATGTGTGTTGAGTTGATACGCCCTCTCCTTGGTTTTGGCAGTCTGTTTCCAAGTGTAACAGGCCCACAGTACTACGGTATTATTTCATTTTTTTTGTCTCCCGTTATTGGACCCTGCCGTCTGCCCCTCTGGCCCCCATCCTCCACTTCTACTAGCGAGACGACCCAACCGGGGTCACATGGGAGGGGGGGCGGGACCCCCTTCTGCTGTTCCTGCCTGAGATATTTTTATCGCGAGAAGGGTACAGCAATCCCTTCCCTCGCGACTTATGAAGTCGATCAAGTTTACGAACAACAACGTGCATGTATGCACTTCTATGTTTTTGCCCAGTTGAGTAAAGTGTTGTTGGGGAATATTCACAGTAGGCGAGATTTTGATATGTTGGACATATTTAGACCTCGATATATTGTACGCAAGACATCAACGATAAACTGGTGGTTTTCGAGTAAAATTAAGGAGCCTGCCGGATGCCACCAACCCCAGAGCGGTTACAACATCAACAGCAGCTAGTCGCATGACCAGTTCGTAAACTCATCAAATAGCACATTACATGTAGTCTATGTTTCATGTGGATGGCATGTCTGCAAATAACATAACCCAGAGAGAGTACGTCCAGAGAGCGAGCCAGACAGGGCTTTTCTAAACCCTGGGTGGCGTCCTTTTTGTATCTCGGCTCCGCCGATGTACGAAGAGCCGGCTATTTTGAGGAACGGGCTGCAGCGGGCATGCATGCAAACATCCTAGGACCTTCTTACTCTCAGCTCGTTTATACGAACAGCTTCGCGAGTATTTTGGGTGCAAACACTCGACTCACGGCAAGGTCGTGTGGCGGACACTTTTCGCGATGAAAACTAACAACTACAACGACACCGTCGGAGGGTGGGGCGTGATCAGGCATGGGCAATAGTCTAAACATCCTCCTGTGGTGCCCACCGGCTGACACGTCAAAATCCCGTAGCACATGGTCTACATACATACATACATACGCATCCGTAGGCGCCAGATATAATCGGGCGAAAGCACCACACACCACAGACCACATGACATACATACTTCTTCGATATATAATTATAGATGATAATACGCGTACTACTATTAATTGTACTCATAGGCTATATCATCAAGCAACAGGCAAAGCAAGAGCAACCAACCTGCAAGAAATAACTTGAGAAAAATGAAATTTTGAAAAAAAGTGTGGCGCCGCCCCCCCCCTCCCGTCCTCTCCTCCGTCACTGCTGTCACGAAGGTTCTGTCAGCTTATTATTATAGCCTTATGTGCCCCCAACCTGCCACCTTGGCCACCTCCACGTGTTTTTTTTGTTTTTTGTTTGTTTTTCTCCCATCATCATTGGACTCTGTCGTCTGCCCCTCTGGCCCCTATCCTCCACTTCTACTAGCTAGACGACCCAACCGGGTCACATAGGAGGGGGAGGTTGGACTCCCTACTCCTGCGGTTCATGCCTGAGGTATTTTTAGATCGCGAGAAGGGTACATTATCGCGAGAAGGGTACGGCAATCCCTTCCCTCGCGACTTACGATTGATTGTGGTTTACTAACAAACGAGCTTTCTTTGCAGCGCGTCGCTTTCATCCTAGAAGACCAGGATTTATTTAGTGAGAAAAAAACTCTCTCTGCCGGGACTCGAACCCATGACCTGGCCCTTAGCAGGCTGCTAGGATACCCACTAGACCACCGGGGTCGTGTGTGTGTGCATGCCCGATCATCCATAAGCCGGACGGACCTCGTGGACCATTTGACCTCGTTTCAATGAACTGACTGCAGGATGTTGGATATTTAGACCTCGACACTTTGTACATAATCTGCATTGATTGGATACTACAGTAGATGGGCTGGTGTTTCATGCGACTCTTGTTATGGAGAGAATGCGAGAAAAAATAAAATACAACCAACCCCAGGCGGTAATCAGCAATGATGTAGTATGTATGTAGTTCGTGAACGAACTCTTCATCATGTATGTCGTCTCATATGATGAACTACTGTAAGTTTCATGTGTGGGCGAGATGTCTACCAACAACAGAGAGGAGAGGGAGTACGTCCGGGGAGCGACTTAGGGAGGGGGGTTTCCTGGGTACGTATGTATGTATGTATATACTTTACATCCCGACCCTGCCAAGGCCCTCCCGATGATGTAAGAAGAAAACAATGTCAAGGTGCTGTCAAGGGCCTACTTGAAAAACAATTCCGGACACATGATGCCCCCCCCCTCCGCGGGAGGGCAATTTTGATTTCTGTCTTATATAGGAAATGGTATAGGGGGCTCCGTTCACGAAATAAATTATTCACCCCCCCTACTGCAGAGGTTGTTCTATCCGCGGTCCCCCTTACGCAAATATATAGAAATTAGAGTCCCCCCCCCCAACAGACCCCTCGATTTTCGATGATTTGGTATTAGTATGTATCTGTGTCTCGAATTTGTTTTCACGTTGACCCTTCCTTGGTGTGTGCAACACATGCATACCGTTGGCGGCATACCCCCTTTTGGTGCGATGCATACGTTTTCGTAAGGAAGGGCAAACAATACCACCCCTTTTTGCAATCAAAACCTACGCTTATTTTTTTTCAATCATCAATGAATCAATCAAGACTTAAGTTGTTGTTGCAATTTAGAGTGTTGAGAATACACACACTTGACTTCACGGTCAAGCAAGGGAGAGGTCCTACGCTACGGCTGAACCCTTTTCGCGATGAAAATATAAACTAAGGTGACGGAATCCACAGCGTAATGTTCTTCTACATTACAGCTAGTAGTATACAGCAGCAGCGGGAATACAGCAGCAAGCAGAATACTCCCGATATGACCTTGCCCCAGCAGTGTGACCCCCCGGCTGAGACGCCAAACACATACATACTCCAAAGGGTGCGTAGAATGGCGTCAGAATAGATGGGACGAACCCACCACACACCACACCATCGGCTACACGCACTGGAACCGCTCCTTCTCCCTCCCTGTATTCCAGGTACTCGATCGAGTAGAAGCCACATTTATACTACTCGGACCGCACGACTACGGTAGATGACACAATATAACATACCCCCTGGACCATTTTTTCAATGCTCGATTACTCCACGACGACGAGGATACACAAACGAAACGATACATTTTTGGAAAGCTCTTGACCAGAAGGTTCCAACCCTGCCGTTATCGGCGCCGTGACTCTTCCCGTTGTTGAGAAATCGATATTTGAAAATCTGTCCAGGGGGTGTGTTATCTTGTGTCATTTACGGTAAGTGGGTGCAAAACGTGTGGTGCCACCTCGACTGTTTCTGTTCTAGGAGAAATCGGGTTTTGAACATCGGCCCACGGGGCGTCGTATGTTATGTCACCTACGTTAGTAAGAAAACAGGCCCTGCTGCTGCTGCTGCTGCTGCTGCTGCTGCTGTGTGCTGGTGTGTAGCAGCACGGGACATCGACAGCGGACCACGATCGAGGGGGGGGTCGCGCATTGGTAAGTTGAGCCAACTACTGTTGGGGTGCCGAGGTGCTCATCATCATGAATCTCGCATGTGTGTCACGCCGCACGAGGGCTCCCACCTCCCTCATCGATGCAGGTATGTGCTATGTTTTCGGCTCCGAGAGTTACGGCCATTGCGGTACTACAGTGCGGCACGTACAGGAAAGCGAGAGATGGAGTTATTTTTCGGCTCATTGTGTGTCGTCGGTCGCAGTTTGAACGGTTGAATACAAGCCAAAAGCAGCAAGTGAGAGAGCCAGTGCGTGTGCCAGTCCATTCCTTCGAGCCGATCGGCGCCTCCACACCAAGTGCTACCCTTTTGACATGCTGCACCACTCATATTCTGGAGCTTCTAGGTGGATCAAGACGTCAACGACAATCATCGGGCTTGCCCGAAACCCGTCGCTTGAATGTCCGCTGCGGCCATGAACCGTGAGGTAGGCAGCTTGAGATCGTCCTCATCACTGCTCGCCCTTGTCACCGCTACAAGTCCGACTTCGCATCTGTCGCCCCATCCCCTGCGAAGGCCAGTGCCAGCACAGAGTAAAAGTTGGACTGCGTGCAACTTTGAATTTTCTTGCCGTGCCAACGGCTGCCTAGTGGAGACGATCGGCATCGGCCCCCCCAGTTGCAGCTCACGGTCAGTAACATCAGGACTTCGCGCCGCGCACGCTGTGAGAGGAGGCTGTACGAGAGGAAAGAGAAGGGGTCGTCATCGCCCAGCGAACAGGCGGCTGGCGAGCTTCCTTGCGCCGGCGCTCGTGTGGTAAGTTGTTCCTCTCTCATGCTGTTTCTACGGGGTTTCACTGAAGGATCGGGTTGATTCTTGCGTTCAGGCGCCCTGCTCTGTCTGGTTCTCTGTCAATCTATCGATGTGTATTGTACAAGCCTGCACTTCCATTTTATCCTCTGCTCTTCTTGTTCTTCGTATGTTCTTCGTATGGTTCACGGCCCCTATTTTAACGGTTGGCTCTTTACCAAGGATCTTCGCTTTCGAGGTCGAGTACTTTCTGTGGTGGAGAGGGGGGTGTGCTGCACCAATCAAAAGGCCGTCCTGGTGCACCGTCCCGGCGCTGGGTGAGCTTTGTTCGGTGTAGACTATTCGAATCATGGGTACAGTAGTAGGTTTTTTACGGATAGACTGTGTTCTCGTAATAAGTCGCGGACTTACTTTCCCTTCATCCCAGAAAGAGGGCATGGCTCTCAATAAAAATATTGACTTGGATTAATTGTCTTTTAGCCTTTGGCAGACGGAGTACGGTTGTTTTTTTACTTTCCTGATTTTGGCAGGGCGTATCGGCATCTTTCGAAAACGCGATACAGGGTACCAAACTTGGTTTGCGGGTTGTAAATTTACGGCGACCAAAATAACCCGTCTGTTGGACTTGAGGCTCGACGCGCCACACCCGATCGCATGCCGTTGATATTGCGAGCGTGCAATGAGCCCTTGCAACGAACATTTGCTCACTCTTTTCTCTGTTTTTTCCGCGTGAAATCAACCAGGTAGCGTCGCGAAGGGTGTTCATGCTAACGGCGGGCATTTTGTTTGCTTTCACGTTCTCCTGTGCCTGGCGCTACTTTCTCACGTCGCTGCCACGGTGAGAGACTATTATTTTATTATTTTCTTGGATTGATTGCCGTCGCAGACGGCGTAAGAGACGAAGTTCGTCGTTTACCTACGTGCTTGTCTTTGCACTCTGTCCGTAAAAACTCCGATGCAAGTTGCTTCTGTTTAGTTGTACCATCTACACCCAGTTGGAACCTGCTCCGTAGCACCAGCCATTTCTTGAGGGTTGATAGTCCTTAAAATTTCACCTCTGCGCGTTTGGCACACCCCTTACAACCGCACGAGACAACAGCTTGTGCCTAGAGCTGCGGAGCATGACCGGCAACTTCGAATACAGTGTCACGTGCTCCCTCCACTCCCCCCCATCGTACATAGTTTCGCTGTGAACGCAGATCTTCGTACACACGACGCAGTGTATTGCGGGTACTTCCACGAGGGTAGTTTTGTTAGGGTCAGGTTTGTGATCGTGTTGAACACACTGATGTCGAAAACACCATCTCAAGGCGAGGAAGCAAGAGGGCAAAGGGCGTACTAGCATGCGTTGAAATCAGCAGCTATTCGCTTACGTGCCCAAATGCTGTTATGCTACTACCCACCCGCGACATGTCCCTGTCCCTTTGCGTGTGCACAGGTAACGGACCCCGGTTTTTTTTCGCGGGAAAGCCATCTGCTAGGTCGTGCTCAAGAGCGAGGTTCGGGGCGGTGGTGCAGCCACTGCGAAGCGTACAAACCGCCGAGGTTGGGACAATATCTACTTCATCAATAGTCCATAGCGGAGTCGCATATGCAATCGAGATGAAGCTTACAGAGAGAGCAACAAATGGGGACATGTAGACTATGTCATACTCGGTGGTAGCACGGCAGTGTACACGGATGTGCTGCACGATGTGGTGAGTACCCGATCATCCGGATAGTCATCCAGACGTGTCCGACAATTGCTTTGGAAGAATTCTGACGGTCCGCGCCTGTTTTCCCAACCCCTCTTGTCGCCCCCACCTCCCAAAATCAACCAAAGGGCGCACCACTGCCGACGGTGCGGGGCATGCGTGGCCAGGATGGACCACCACTGCGCTTTCGTGGCAAACTGTGTCGGGGCGGGCAACCACAAGCAGATGCTCCTCTTCCTGGTGTACTCGGCCGCCTGCGCAGTACACGCGGCCTTTTTGTTTTGCCGCCTGTGCCATGCCTCCTTGATGGCCGTCCTACTAGTTGGCATCTTTAGCTGGCTTGTTTGTCTGATGAGTTCGCAGGTGCACGGAATCCGTGTTCATGCCGGCACCGTCGATCGGATGCAGGCTGCCGCGCCGGGGTATCGCGCGGCAGGACAGGCGGGGGCACTGGGTGCTGCTCCGCCGGATCCCCGCCGGCAAGACGGTTGGCCTGGGTTGCTGCCAACGGGAAGAGAAAGTCCTCCTGGTCGTTTACCGCTCCCTGATGATGGCCGCGTTACCCCTGTGCTAGACGGGGATGCTACGTCGAGTGCGGGACAAGAATTGACACAAGGAGCACGGCGTCCTGCTTCTGCCTCTAGCGGTGGCTTTGGGGTAGCCGTGAGCTTGCCGCGTGCTTCTCCTGGCGCAGTAGCTGGTGACACCGCAAGTGGAAGGCTGGGACTCAGATTCCGTGTTATCCGGGGTTTGTGGGAAACTGTACACCAGGAGATACTGGGCGAGGGGGCGTGGGTTTTGTGGTTTGTGCCAACACCAGCCAGACTGTCCCCCGAAGTAGAGCAACGTGTCTACGCGCCACATGGAAAAGCGGGGAGAGCGCAATTACCAACCAGCGCAGTTTTTGTACAACCGGCTGTTCGCGGTCTAATTTGAGGGAACAAGGGTGATGGTACCTTTCGCCCAGAGATCAGTCTGGAGATATGCGCAAGAAAGAGTCCACACGTGCGATGCGTGTGCACGCTGAGTGCACACGGACAAGCCTTGTTAGGGTGTCATTCGCCAGCGCCTCCTATGAACATGTCGTCAATCGGACGCCGACGGCGTTTCCGAACATGTTGTTTGATTCTATCCAGGATGGGAGTCTCTTCCATGAATCATCGGTAGCCAGGTCTGTTGGACGTAAGCTGGGCATTCGCTAAAAGAATCGGTGGACTGGTCGTGATATGTCAGCCAACGCTCCTGGTCGCAACCAATGCACCTCACGTACGTGCATCATGGTTCAAAACGAGTGTGGGGTTCGGGGCCGGCACTGCTGCGCGTGTTGCAGGAAAGGTGGCTATTGAATACTTGCCGCGCGCCACGCAAGCGCCAGGAAAACAAACGGGAAACAAAACGACCAGGGACGAAAAAGGAGTTCAAGGGATGAAGAGACAACACCGAAGACTACGGAACCGCCCGGACATATTTCGAAGGATCCAGTCCGCCATACGTTTTTTTACCAACGGAAGGGCGAACTTGCGACCCGATCGAAAATGGTGCCTGAACCCAGCACCGGGCGTGTTCATGCATAGTCTTCGAAGATCATTTTGATAACAAACCATGGCGCAATCATTGATGAGACCCGATTTGTGGCCAGCAGTTCGCCAGGAGCAACACCTCTAAAATTGGGGACATAACTCTCATCCCCGAAATCTCAGGCAAACCAATGCCCACAAACACAGACCGAGCGCAAGTTCTACGCGTGCTCCGAGTAATATTTTCGTGCACAGCGTGGTTTAATACTATCGGACACGAACGACCGGCTTCTTGGCCGGCAAGGTATCCAGCAGTGACGCTAGGCTGCTGGCTGCTGCAGAGCCTTCTCGAGCCTGGCGAGAAGCTCGGCTTTGTTTCCAGACACACGGAGCCCCCTGCCCTTGAGCTCGACCTTGAGGTCGGTAACCTGGCGTTTCGAGAGGGACATGAACGGCGTTTGTTTTCGGTCGAGCATGCAATATTTCCAATGATACGAGGATGACCACCCCCAACATGTCGAGCTGTTTCCCATGGTATCAAAGGTTTCGCCCACCAAAGAGAAGGAAGGGCCGTTCACATGGAACCCGTTGCAGCTTGCATGCGCACCAAACTTTCTCGGTGCCTGCAACGGATGCAGGCAACTGTATGGCACACAAGGACGGCGACTTTAGATGCACAGTGACTACATACTGTAACGAGGCTAGGGAGCCGCCCGACTATCCCCCCCTCCACCACTGTACGCGGAATACTCTGCTCTTAATGTTGAAATGGGAAGGTAGACATCAATTCGTGCTTGCTCTCCTCACCTTCATAGTCTTGAACCCCTCGAGTACCAGCTGCGCCTTGTTTGTGTCCTCCCCTTGCCCAGAGATATCACTTCGTACCGCCTCGTCAGCGATTTCGGCGACGGTTTCGTCTGCTTCGGATCTGCCGTCTTCGGGCATTCGATCGTCTCCGTCGGCTCCGGATACCGGTGAATCCCCAACTGCTCCTGTGACGTGTACCGACGTAGTGACTGCCCCCGCCTCGCCATTTGTTTCGACTTCACCGTAACTATTGGCGCCAGCAAGCAAGACGTCGTCTGCCAGAAGGTCGAGATCACTGTCGCTAGCGAGCTCTTCCGTCTCGACCGCGAACCGTTGCCGCAGTTCTTCCAAGAAATCAGCTCCGGCTTCCTCCTCTCCATCCGCGGCCTGGCTTCCCCCCTTCCCCGACTTCCCCTGCGCGACGCCCCCACCCCCGCCGCCGCCGCCGTGGAGTGCCCCGCGAGACACCTTCTTAACGGCCCGCGATTTACGAGAAGAGGAATCACCATCATCCTGCGATGTTGTCGCAACGACGTCCTCGGCCTTGGTTCGCTCCTTAACGCGCGATCGGTCGTTTTTGCGGCCACCTCCACTTCGGCCGCCGCCGCCCGAGATCTTGGCTTGGATGTACTCCACGCGCCGCTTCGTGACGGGGAGGCCTCTGCGGGCAAGTATCGGAGCAAATTCCGTGCGGGTTGTGGAAGGTAGAGAGAGGAGGTGGTATCTCAAACGAAGACGCACACTCCAAGTCGCCGGTGCCACAGAGAGTAGTGTTCAGGGAAGAGAATTAAATAGCTGCAAAAGGAGTTGTTGGACAGCCTCCCTTTGCAAAACGCCCGCCGCCGGCGTGGTGGACAAACACCAATAGGAGCAATGCTGGTGCAGAGGCCACCACACATCGACCCGCCCATCCACCTACCTCGCACGCATTTCTCGGAACAGGTCCATGGCGCAGCCAAGATCTCTCGCGATAGACGCCGCGTCCACGGCAATGTGATAGGTAACCTGTTTCATACACAGGGAGTGCAACGAAAAACACGGCCCGTTAACAAGTTGTTGCGAACAAGAAAGACGGCAGAACCGTGAAGGACGGCCCACGATATTTTGACAACTTTACCCGGTTTACCGGAGAGCGGTCAACTTCGACACCCGAAATGCATCCAACTTTCCAAGCTCGAGTTCTCCACGCTGTCCACAGACTCATTCACGAATGTCCCGATCCGTCGAAAGTGCCAAGTAAACGCGTCGGCGGCGTGCACTGTCACCGGATCTTACGCGCGCCTCTTCGCAATGCAGCCGAGACACAGAAGACGAAGACGACGACAGCACAGCACAGAACGAATCGAAACCGAATCGCCCCTGCCTTTTGTGATGCGAAGAACATAGCTAAGCGAGTTACCTCATCTGCCTCGACGCCCTCTCTGTGCATCTCTTCCAGGAGGCTCAATACCTGCGGGTATGCACACAGCGCCGGTCACGGACAGGACCAGACAAAAGAATTGACAGCGCGGCTCAAAGTTATGCAACAGCAGCAATACTTTGGGGTCGTGGGCAAAATCGCACAATGACCGTTCTTGCGATTAAATCATCTTGGATGAACCGCGGCCATGCACATACTCTCGCCACGTACACAACAGAAGGATCATCCATCTGTCTCCACAATACTGTATATAATCACCTTTCATGCACGTTCATGTGTACGGAATGCCCGGCGCAGGAACATGTCATGACGTCAACCGGGAACGAGGAATACCCCCCCTCGGGCAGAAGCTCGGTAACGGTAATAACACTTCAACTCGACCCGACTCACATCCGGCAGACGACCAGCCTTGCCCAGGGCGAACATGGCCGCGCTGTAGCTGATGCGGTTTGGAGTCACTCCCTGGCCACGCATCTCGTTTAGGAGCCACTCCGCCTGCCTATCGTTCCCGGACCTTCCACACGCCGCCATGGCGTAGTTGTAGGTGATTGCCTTGGTTGGAGGGGGGGTGGGGGGGGGAATTCTTATGT